GCTTGTTCTAAACCGTCCTGAACTGTCTGTCTGTCTGTTCATTGGGTCCAAGTTTCTGAGGCCATTACACTGACAGTCAATCTCACACATCTACTACTCAGCACCTGTGTCTTACCTTAATACCTTTCCTGTCATAAGGCCCCTCTAGAAGTAGTGTTATCATTCTTCTATCTCCTATTAAGTGAGATCACATTGTACGATGTATTATTAATATGAACTGTTTCACATGAAACACCAAACTGTGATTAAATTCAGTGTAAACAAATTGCCACCCCTAAAAAATTCCTGCCCCCCTCTTGCCACCCCATAAATATTTTTCTAGATCCGCCCGTACCTGATGGAAATGGGTCAATCTGGACTGTCTGGATGTGTCAATTTGAATGAGTAAATATCTGACCTGCACTGCATAAATTTGACAGATGTTCCTGTGTTCTCTTCAACATGTGCCATAAAAAAAAGCCTTACAAGTCTATGATTAATGGCTTTTTTTGCAACAGAACAGACATGAAAGAGATGAAGACGAGCTATGCTGCATGTCAGATTTGATCCTGCTTTTGATTAAGGTTTGCTGATACAGAGCAACATCCAAAACATGCAGACCATCAGCGGTTGACTGACATGACAGTTTAAATTCTTTAACGTACATGTTAAGAGCCTAAAAATAACAGAATACCAACCTTTCAAATCGGGACAAAAAAAAGAAGACATGTTACACAAGTGAGGCATTATTTTAATGTCAGCAATTCATTAACACTCATTAACACTTCTGAAAATGAAATAGATTTTCATCATTTCGTTAGAATTCCTGATTGATTAGATATTGCACAATAAACAGCAAAAACAATTACTTTCAGGGTAAACTGATGACTAATCCTGAACTTAGAATACTCAACTTTCTGAGTTTAAAAATTCACAAAGCATTTCCTCTAACAATTAAAACCCTATTTGTTAAAGATTTTTAGCACTACCATCTACTGCCTCATGTTACGACAGGAAGGTTCTAACTGTGCCTTTAACAAGGCCTCTGCAGATCGGGCATTTCCGCAGTGATGGTGCACACTCCTTGCACACCACTAGATGTCCACATGGGATGAAGACAATGTTGACCTCTTTGTCCATGCACACCTTGCAGGTACGCTCTTCCTGCAGCCGCCGCAGTTGTTCCTCCATTGGAAGGTCTGCAGTATAGAAGGGAACTTTTCAGCCAAATGGGCCCATAAGAACCTAATCTCCATCTTTACAGAACCAGGGCTCCGTTTCACAAAACAGGTTTGACAGACTGACTCAAACCCTAGACTCTGAAATGATCTAAAATCAGAAACTGAGTTTTTTTGTATCATAAAAGCTGCTGTGAGTTAGTTTAGTCAACTCTGAATAGGTCCACTCAGAGTTGAACACGTGTGTAGCAGGTATGAAAAGCCATTATCAGTGGAGCTCCAATTCAATGAGTCACCATGACAACAGGCATCAGGAAGTGCTTCTTTCACCCCACTGAGTTTAGAGATTTTAACAAAATGAAAAAATAAATTGGTGAGAGCACTACAGCTGCAAAGGAGAAGATTGCTGCTAGAGTTAATCCTCAAATTTGAAGTGGGCTATGGCAGGATGACTGTACATTTATTAAAAGCACTCTCCTCTCTGTTGTCCCACTTGTAGATCACTAAAATAGAATTCTTCCTGGTCAAAATCACAATCTAGACGGAACTGGTAACATTTTCTAAATTATGTTTTTGCAGCAGAAGCAGAATATCAGAAAGTAAAAACGCAAAACTGTACTAGTGAGAATTAAGTTATAAATAGAGATGTTTATACATTATCTGCTTAACTATTAATTTGTATCTGAGATACATTTCTTCATAGTCAAAATGACACAAATTATGACTAGTAACAATAGGAATAATGACATCTGAATTTCATTTCAACAGAATTTTTATATAATTTTATTCTAGATGTGAAGAATTTCATTTTGTTTGAAATGTTCCTTTTCAAAAAAATATGTATTTCAGATATAAAAAATACATATTCATTAAAACTAATACATATCTAAATCGCCTGCCATAGCCTGTTGTAACCACGATAACATTACGGGGAAAACTAGTTTATTGCTGGAATGGTAGTGGATCAATGTATCTATTTAGGTGAAATCATGAGGCAGCAGGTGAGGATAAAATATAAAAAATGTTTTTGTTTTTTTTATTGTTTGCACAGAACTATGAGGAAAATCTGACTATATCAGGAAATAAAAAGTGATAGGCTCTAAGGTTAGCGGAGACAGAAGACAGAGTTTACTTAACAAAACCTGCTTCGTACCAGGTTAGCTTTGGGCAGAATGTTTCTACGGCAACAGAAACAGAAGTTGAATAAACCTGCTTTGTGAAATGGACCCCAAAACAACACAAACTTAAATATATATATATATATATATATATATATATAAATATACATGTAATCACACCTCCTAATGTGTTTGAATGAAAATAATCAGTTGTAAAACGGAAATGTAAGAACTTAATACATGTTCAAATATTTTTTGACATCACGGTCAACAGACTAAAAATGTACTTTTAATACCTGAGCAACAAAGAATACATATTTTGTGACAAGTACATCACAATGGATGGTCTTTGACTACTTAAGAGTTCTAGGCAAAGCAGATGTCATTTGTTTTCATGCATTTTATGTTATAGTGTTTTAAAAAGAGCCTCGCTGGTGATTAAATTCAGTCTGATGAAAAACATTGTTACCTGAAAGATCTTGGCTTGGTGAAGAAGCTTCACTTGACTGAGCTGAAAGGGGAAAAGAAAACATGTCAAGCTCAGGCTTTGATCAAACAAATGGTAAATAGACTTTAAGAGTGTTTTTTTTGTTCCTTTGTCTAAGAAAAAAAAGTTTTTATTTCATTTAAAGGTTTTATCTTTTTTTTCCTGTCGGTTTTTACAATCACCAGTATGGATAATGACTACTTTCAGTTGTTTTTTGCCATCTGGAATAAACGGGATACCCTTGGTTTCAACCTCTAGATTTCTATTTCTCTAAAGAAATAATAATTAAAAAACTGTTTCCAAAATGTGCAAACCTTACAAAAAATGCATCTCTGCTCCCACCCCCCTATTTTATTGAAGAAAAGGTTCAAAAACCCCACAAGTTAAGTCTTTGTTTGAAAAAACCTCAGTGAGACATTTGAACAGCCTCTCTGACATGAGTCAGGGGAAAGTTTTCTCCATTCTTAACTTTCATCTATAAAATGTTTGAGACGTTTCTTTCATAAAGGTTCTGTTTCAAGTCATCCAACAGAATCCCGAGCAGATCTAGTAATAGGCTGATCAGGCCAAGGACTTTCCATTTCTTAATTCTCAGCCAGTTCTTGGTGGATTAACTGTTATTATGAGTGTGTAAATGTAATCTATAACGTGGGAATAAATGTGGGGGTTCCCAAAATAATTGTTTACAAGAAACTGCATTTTTAAAATCCCATTTTTATTAGACTGTGGGTCTTCAGTTTTTATTATTTACGCTACTTGAACTTCTCAGAATTGTTAAACTGATATGTATTCCTATTTACAAAAACAATAGAAAACCACAGGCCAATGTAGGGCCTTATTTTGTTTTAACCACAGCTTGGGATACATCCATTTTGTTTTCAAGAATAAAACATAAGAAATAATTTATTAATATTTAAACCAGCATAAAAAGAAATTTAAAATTGTCTACAATTTGGCTTTTGAATTAAAGTGACATTTATGTGAGCTGAAGATAAAAACGAACTTTATAAAGTTGTAAACTTGGAATAGAATACCTTCTTTACACAGAACAAAACAAAAACTCCTTAATTTTTTTTTACAGAAATTAAACATTACGATTATAAATAGGAACAAACTCAGTTTGTTCAAAGTTGGAAAAATTATGAAACCAAATTCCATACTTTTCAAGTCTGTGCTGGTATCCTGTGGAAAAGTCATACCCATGAGGTCTCTGAGCAGGTGGACGTCGTTTTTCTGGATCCAGTTGCGGAACACCTCGGCGGCGGCGTTTCCTTTGGTGAGGACAAGCTCGATCAGCCTGGCTGTTTGCTGCTGGGCTGAAGTCTGGGCCATGAGGCCGCTGTAATCCTCAGCAGCTGCAGGGTTAACAGAAACAGACAAGGAGACCCTTGAGGTCAGATTTGATTGATTCCGACATTTTTAGAGATCTGCTGACCAATACTGGCTTCGATAACAAATAGTTAACATACACAACACATTTTGCTCTCTTAAATGCTCCAGCACTGGCTCGACACTCTTCAGACGCTGCGACAATGCAGCCTGGTGCCTCTTCACAAACGTGAAACCATCTAAAAAAAACAAAAAACAAAAAAAAAACATTAAATAAATGTGCCTAACAGAATGGATCACATTCTCCATTCCTCCGACTTGCACCTGACGCCATGGCCTCCGCCAGCATCTCTCGCTCCTCCTCCCTCTTCTGGTCTTCAGCACTGAGCAGATCTGAAACCAGCTCCTGGACTGTCCTGTAGTTCTCTCCGCTCGTCAGGATCTTGCTCTGCACAGTTTGCTTGACCAGACTGCGATCGAAGCCCATCTCTAAAGCAGATTTGATCACAGGGGTGTTCATCATGATGGCATCTTCAGACCTCTCCTCTCCTGGACCCAGATGCACAACTGAATGGAGCAAAAGTTAAGACACGTAAATAAACATTTCATACCTTTGTTGTAGTACTTTTATGCTAAAATATGGATTTCAACTCACCAGGCGGATCCACAAACTCTCTGGAGTTGTTGTCTCCTGTTGTTAAAAGCTTGTGGAGATTTAAAATAAGGGAGCAGTTAAAAAAAACTGAACAAAATTTCTATAATACAAGTAAAAACGAAAACGCTGCTCTCTCCTAACCTGTTCAAAAAGGCGAGGAAATCGAGCTTGTATCTGGTGAACAAAGTCCTGTCCTTTCTCCTGAAGTAAATATTCACACCTGAAGAGGAAGAAAAAAAAGGGCATAAAACATCTTCCACAATCAGCAATTTTCTAGATAAAAACTTTAAAACAATGTCGGTTACCTAGGAAACCATTTAGCATGTTCTACCCAAGGATCATCCCCAGATTCCCAGCATCGCAGGCCTCCGTCACAGCAGAAACACTTGACATCATCGTTTCTCCCTTGAGGGGCACAGAGAGAGAGAGAGAGAGAGAGACCTGGGCTGAGATGTGGTTTAGGGGGATTTTCTTTTGGGGGTAGGGTTATTACAGGTGACAAATCCAAACTGGGCAACTTCTTTTCTTTCTCATTGGGGAACTTAAATTGTCATATGACTACAAACTTTTCATAGTGTCCATAAAAAGTCCATCTATATGGAATTTCCAAGTGAAACTCAACACTGTTTCATAAAATCCCCGACTATGCCTTGGGTCTATTTATGACAACAAGCAATATTTTCCCACTCAGACTGAATCAACAATTCTAAGAAAATTACTAATAAAACTACAGTTCTTCATGTCCTTCCACTCGAAACCACTACTTACTTGAATTTTGGTCACTGGATGAGAAAACAGAATCACAAAACAAGCCTGTGTCCCTCTAGTAAGTTTTAACCCAAACGAACCGTGCTGGTGATAACTTCCTTACCTACATAGTAGAATCCAGCCTTAGCCAGCTGTTCAGGTCGGACCGGGATGCGAGACGGCCAGTTCACAAAGGTGAGAAGCCTCTCATCACTCTGTTGCATGGATGGGTTGGACACGCTGGTGAGGCCAGGGGCCCCAGCTGGTACCTGGGAAGAAACCGTTGCTGCGGCACCGGCCAGCGACACGTTATCGGCTCTGTCCCCCCTGACAAAACGACAGTTTGGATAATGCCTCTGGTGCTCGGATACAGCTCGGTCACCCGGTTCCCAGTTGTTCAGCTGCAAACCAAAGCACAAACTCTGGGTCACCTCACCCTCAAACTTGACTCTGTGGCAAATGCATAAATCAACATCTCCAAAATAAAATCCCACTTTTAGAAAGTCTAAGGAGCAAAATATATATTTTTTTGTTTTTAGAAAAAAATTATCTTTTCTGTTTTCTGTTCTAAATGTCATGTTGACCAAATATGGACACCTTAAAAGAATTTACTAAAACAAGCAGAGCTGTTTTCAAATTAGCCCCAAATAAAACATGCAAAAAACACTAATAAATGTAACCTAAAATGTTTTTTTTTTCTTAAAAAACAAACATTTCATTGCCAATTAAAAAAAAACATGCTGCAAAATAATATCTATATTATTAAAATACCTGAACCTTATCATTGAAACTCCCATTGAAACCCCATGATTTTCTTGTCCGTCATTGGCATTAAATAATTGCACTTACATGAAGAATAATTAAATACATTTTGGGCAAGTCCCAAAAATTTAAATCTAGATAGATGTGAAAAAAAGATGGAGGCATAAGTCTTAAATATCTGTCTATCCATTATTCTGCATCCTGTGTACAGGAACAGGGAGGAAAAAACTAAACCCAACACCATTAAAAAGGTCCTTAGTTCGTCTTAGATGCCCACCTGTCCACCGCAGCTGAAGCAGGACACTCTGTCCCCTTGTCCCAGGTAGTAGAAACCTGCCCTGGCGAGCTCTGAGGGGGTGATGATGGAGAGCGTCCAGGAGTGAAAGGAGTCCAAACGGTCCTGCTCTCTGCGCATGCTTGGGTTGTGACACGTTGGTCTCTGGTGGGACATGTCCTCCACACCCCGAGAGCTCAGGGGACTAGAGGGCGGCAAAGCAGTGAAGGCTGTATTTAGGAAAGCCACTGCCTCTTCACCTTGGCTAACTGATGGGTTAGGAGCAGCAGGGCCTGGAAGCTGGAGGAGACAGAACAAAGTCCAATTGGTGCTCATTTTTAAACAATGTTTTTTTTTTTTTTTACCCAGCAGACCCTTTACGCCATCATTTGAGTAAGCCGTCTTTGATCTTACTGGTAGAGCTGGAGCGATCCGAAGTGGCGAGAAAGCAGAGTGAGACGAAGAGAGCAGGTTGGTGGTAGATGGGAGGCTTTGAATAAAGGAGCAGGAAGGTGAGAGCTGTCTGTGTTTCTCTGTGGGACAGTCCCCAGCCTGCCAGCCCTCGGCTGTCACATTACACCTGAAGCACTGCACCCGGTCGCCCACACCAGTGTAGAACCAGCCTGCCCTCGCCAAGCTTCGCTCTGTAACGGGAGAAGCTGGGAAACGGGCAAAAGTCGAGATGCGATAGAGTTCTGTGGAAAAAAGACAACAACAGAGTCATATTAGATTAAGAATTCAAAATAGATAAAAATACATTTAATAAATCTGCAAGAGAAAAGGTCTAAAGTTACCTGAGGAGTTGTCATACTGTAGGTCGGGAGGTGGCCCATTACGACACAGTCCCATCAAAAACTGGTTGTTTTTTAGCTGAACAAGAGTTTCCATTGTCGGATTTTTTTTTTTTAAGTAGGAAACAAAGAGATGTCCCTGAGAGGGAGAGGGGTTTGAAAAAACCCAAGGTCTTTCACTCATTCAAACAAGCCCACACTCCAAAGTCACACACACACAAAACTGAAAATACCAATAAATCTAAATGAATCGAAAAGGATGAGATGATGAGAGTGAAAAGGAAAGATAGACTAGCATGAAAATCATGGGCTCTTCTTCAGCATATCCTCGGACCCTCGCTTATCTTCTCCTGTGCTTAATGGGACAAACATGGCAGACTACCAAAACTAGCATAAATGAAAAATTTGTCTAACAAAATCCCCAAAACACATTGCACTAAGCAGGATGAATCAGACCAACCCTATTTTCTGTCACTATGAGACTGATCCTAGGTCAGATCAACCAGGATCAGTAAAAAGCTCACTGTTTTCAACCAGTGCTACAGACATAACCAACCCTGGTAAAATATGTGTTACTTTGAGGCTTAACATAATAAAAAAAAAAAAAAAAAAAACACAAAAACAAAAACAGACCTGGGAATATCTGCTCNACACACACACACACAGACCTGGGAATATCTGCTCTCAAACCCCTCCCCCCCTCTGAGACATCCCTTTTCTGGGTGTCTAGGCTTCCATAATTGAACGCTGAAAATCTAATTAAAATATATTTTAATCTTTAAAGAAAAGGAAGTCGCTCTTCAGTTGTTTTCTTGAATCTGCAGAAAAACATAAAAGACAAACATTTATCAATACAATATAATATTAAAAAAAATATCCAATTACATCAAGTCATCATATGTATTGGATGATGAGGCAACTTTGGAACAAAATAGCACCTTTTTTAAACTACCAGTGTTGCTAAATTGACATGGACTGCTTGTTTATAGAACTGTCAGTCAGCACTGTCAGTCATCTGATTCACAAACTATTTTAGCTATTTGAAAATATTTCTTATCATCCTTCCTGAGCTGCAGGTCATGGAGAATGCCATTTTGTCAGATGAGTACACCCTGTCAGACCAGTATACCCATAGTCAAAATTTGCGTTCATCCCTTTAGTTTTGTACAGAAAATAGACTTTAAACTACCTCAACGGTTTTGTATCCCTTTAGTCAGGTACAAAAAAAACAAAACAAAAACAATTTAAGGTAAGATCGCCATACGCTTCAAAAACACTAAAAAGTAAGTAATTATTGTTTTTTTTTTGTATATGACTAAAGGGATACACGCCCTTGAGGTAATTTAAAGTTTATTTTTCATACAAAACTAAAGGGATAAAATAAGGGAATAAACTAAAGAGATAAATGGGTATTGACCGGGAATCCTCATATGACAGAACATGGTATCAATCCATCCATCTGGAAGGATTTTTAAATGTGTGATTGACATTACACTCATTAATCATTTAACCAAAAGATCCTGAAATGTTTGTACTTGAAAGTTAAAACTTACAGGGAAGTTAGTGATCTTGAAAGCAAAGACTTACATGTTTTTACTTTTCTATAAAGATATAAAAAAAAAAAAAAAAAAAATCGACTAGTTTAATTATTTCTAGTAAAAATATGTTTTACAAGCACAATAATTATCAACAGATGCAAAAAGATCTAAATTTTACACAGGCTTCATTACACGCTTATGTTGCTCATATATATTTTCCTGAGCAGTGCAGCTGGACTTGTTGGGAATCAATATTATCATCAGGCTATCAATTATATTGAGCTGTATGACTGGATCAACATAACTTGGGTGAACTTTTACCTAGAAAGGAATTTTAAAGCCAACCCTTCCATCAAACAATTTCCTGCTAATTTTACATGTAAATATTATTAGGGTGTTGTAAATTTTTACACAGCATATATTTCATTACTGGGTTTTTACCTCCAGGTTAAATTTTTGGTCGAGTTTGTGTCTCAGTCTCCTTATAATATAATATTTAAAAATCAATTAACTTTTTTGTTTTTTTCAGTCGGCCTAATCCTCTTCCATATGTTTGGACCTTTCTGAACATTTGCAGCAAAAGGACTGATCCAAGTCACACTTAATTTTATAAGCGTTCTGATGGTATTTTAGCAGAAGGATTTTTTAATCAAAAAACATAATTAACAGGCCCAAATAATGAATAGTTGTATTAACTATACATGTAAACAGTTTTTTTATGGGGCCCCCAGGAACTCATATATTTTTTTTATTTAACAAAAAAAAAATATTTACAATTTCAAGTAGGAATTCCCACATTTCTTTCTTACATAAAAAAGAAGACAACATATATTATGAACTTAAATATTGCAAGGCAACATGGATAAATTAATAAATAAACAGGCGGTATTATTACAACCAACTGGAACGTACAAAACTTAAGAAGGGCCCCCGTGTACTTTGGGGCCCTAGGACACTGCCTAGTACACCCTGATGGTAAAATATACGAATAACAAAAGGAGTGTCCCTGTTTATGAACGATCTTTTTTTTCTTTCTTTTTTTTTTGAAGCATCACACACCTCATGTCTCATACTGTGAATATGCTAAACGTTTAATTAAGGTCCAAAAATAAGGACATAAGCTAAGACAACCTCCTTCACAGTATCCTGAAAGGCATCTAGTTCTAGCTAATACTAGCTTCGCTGTGTTGCTAAATATTTTCAAGGGGCTGTTGCATTTAATTTTAACATAGTGATAAACATGAAGTAAATTTCATAACCGAGTCAAAACTAGACTGAAAGTACTAACGCATGATATATTTTATCAAACGATCCCTAGATGCTCAACGATTGTTAGCTAGCTAAAGCCCAGCTCCGCTGCTATTCAAAACAGATATTTTAGGCAGTATTATTGAATTTCAGTAAAGAAATGAACTCAAACTATCTACAAAAAAAAAAAAGGAAACACTGTGAAATACCCGACCAGAAGGTAAACCACACAGATACTGTTCTTTCCAAGTTTATAGAGCTCACCGAGAGCGACGTCAGTCGGAAAGTCCCTAAGTTTCCTGCTTATGACGCCACTTCCGTGTTCTTTTGAAAGAAAACTAAACGAAAACATATTTTAAATGAATGAATAGCCATCAGCTATGAAGCAATCCCCTTAGTTCACACGGATTAAAAGATAAACCTCGATAGATTTCAAGGACTTCTAATTAGTGTCAGACGCCTACATTTGGTGGAAATATTTAAAAATAATTTCTATAAAAACGATTTTAGTTAACTTACAAGAGATAAAATAAATGAGTGAATAAAATAAAATGACTATTAATGGAGCATTATGATAAATTGACCTTAAAAGACATTGAACACCTAGAATAAGTCAAATAACAATAATGAGTCAACACAGATTTAAAACGCAATTAAAATATATATATATATATATATTTAATTTTATATTTATTTTAAAAATCCCAAAGAAAAACTAGACGACTTACCTTTTTAAATGGTTGAAGTAGGCAGTCCACAGTTAACAATCACAAAATAACATATTTTACAAAAAAAGACAAGGGTACTTACATGTGTGAGCTGCTGACGGCAGTTTGTCAGTAATATGTGCTTAGGGGAGGAGAGTATGGAAAGCCATTTGGTTCATGGGGGAGGAGAGGAGGCGTTTCCGCGAAGCGCGTGTCGAGGCTCGATGCCGCCATACCAAGGGACCAAAAATTCGACAGGCATTTAATCCTCCTCAATATTCAGTCAAGATGTGGGAGTTTTAGAAAAGAGTATTAATAAATAATTTTTGATGGAAAAAAGGTGGGATGAAGAAAAAATAGGAAGATGGTTTTATAAAATTAAGAAAATAGTAGGAAAAAGAAGAAATGGAAGACGAAATAGGAGGAGAGAGTGATAACAAGGTTAAGATTTGGGCATACAGGACTTAATTATACAGTTTTCAAAATTCGAAAGCATACTACTGGCAAATGTGATTACTGTGGAAAATATGAAACAATAGAACATGTTATACTGGAATGTCATATTAAAGTGAGAGAAGATATATGAGGAGAGAGTTTGAATGTATTAAGGAAGATATTCATATTTTGAGGAAGAATTTGGGGAGTAAACATATACAAATAATTATTAGATTTTTAAAGAAAACTAAATTATTTCATAGAATTTGAACATAGAGAGGGTGAATGTGTGTCTGATATAGACAGGTAGAATACAGTTATGTATAAGTATGTAGTTTTTGTTGTTTTGTTTCCTTTTTTTCCTTAGAAATTATATATATGTTTATTAAGTAGATAGTCCATCACGAATCACACTCCATGCTAATAAGTGGTGGTAATGCTACTAAATGTTTGTTGCCAACCGTCAATAAATCCAACAAGAACTTAGACTTAGACAGATTTATTTGTCATTTTGTTTACACAAGTATAAAACAAAAATAAATTTCGTTTGGAACAGCTCTCTGGACAATTTCATTTATTTCAAGAAGAAGAAGAAGTCAAGATGTGGGAGATTGTAGAAGAGTTGCGGTCAGTTGGATAGTTTCGAATGGTTGCAAAAACAAACAATCCAGTTTGTTAAAACAATTTTGGTTGGACTAAAAAATAAAATGATCAGAAAGCCACTAAAGTATTACATTCTAAAAAGATGTTAGTGTTGAAAGTGGCGTTTGCTGTAAGACTTTGTCTTTAATCCAAGGGTTTTAGATGTAGATCCAGCCTTGGATTTTGAAAGTTGCTACACTATTTAAAGGTATGGTGGAGGATTTTGGCCCGCTCCTCTTAAAAAAAAAAAAAAAAAATGCACATGCACAACTCTGTACCTGCTGCCAAGAAGGAACGTTTATGAAATGCGTGCGAGAGCATGCTCTAGCCCATTTCTCCTCAAGCCCGCTCTGTTTAAGAGTTGCTGTTTGCTTTACTAATACAACCTTGCTTTCCAAAAGATTTGCAGTTTTTCCAATATCAGATTCACAGCCGGTACGTGAAAATGGGGACAAACATGTAGGACAGACTTATGTAAATGTATCACCAGAATGATTGACAAGGAACATCCTCCACCTATATTTTGGCCAAAGTGACCAATTTGTATTGGTTTACCCTTTTACCAACATAGACTGGGTAAAAATGCTGCCAAATTAGATTGGTTGTTTTAACCAAAATATTGATTGGACACATATCTTCCAAACAGATTTAAAAAAAAAATCCTCTTTACCTTGGTAAAGACAATTTTTAATATTTACCATAATTATTAGTATTATTCACATATGTGTTAGGCGGGCTTACTTCAGTTCCCCTTGCACTCTTGAAAAAATAAAAAATAACAGCTTTGTTAAAGGTATTTCCCCAGCTTTCATCACAGTTTACACACTGGGTAAAATAAGTATTGAACACACCATTTTCTCAGTAAATATATTTCTAAAGGGGCTGTTGACATGACATTTTCACCAGATGTGGGTAACAATCCATGCATCAATCCATAGATGTCCAGAAATTAAGTTATGTGGAACGGCACAGGGAAAAATGATTGAACATGTGAAGAAAGGGAGGTACAAAAAGCATGGAAAGCTATGACACCATCCGAAATCTCTTAGTAATTAGAAAACAATACTGCCCCTTGTCATTGCAAATTAATTATTTTCATTTAATTAAAAGTCTCCCGTAGTGTGCGTCCTTTTAAATACAAAAACCGTGTCACTGTTTGACACTCAACAGGCTCCATTTCAGACTTGACTCAGTTCAAACACTTGTAAATCAGAAACCACACTTAGTTCAGAACTGTAATTCGCCACGTATACATAGCATATAAATAATTGCACATGCAAAACTTCAGCTAGATCAGACAACTGGAAATGGTCCAGGGGCGTTACTTATTGAACGCCCCTCATATCAGCTTGTTCAGTCCCACATGGTGGCCTATAAAATGGTGTCGCTGGTATCGCACAAAAAGCATCTCATAATGGGTAAAAGTAAAGAGTTTTTTCAAGACCTCTGCAACCTTAATGATGGCATTCATTACAGAAGGATTTCTAAACTTCTGAACGTTCCAGTGAGCACTGTTGGGGCCATAATCCGGAAGTTCGAAGAACATAATTTCACCATGAGGCGATCACAACCAGGTGCTCCTCCCAGATTTCTGACAGAGAACTGAAAAGAATTATCAGAAGAGATGTCCAAGAGCCAAAGGCACTTGTGGAGAGCTTCAGAAGGACCTCGATTTAGCAGGTTCAAATGTTTCAAAGAAAACAATAAGTAATGCACTCAACTGCCATGGCCTGTATGCACGCTCACCGTGAAAGACCCATTGCTGAAAAAAAAAAACATGTTGAAGCTCGGATGAGACCAAAATTAAACTCTTTGGATGCCACATTACACATGATGTTTGAAGGTCAAATGGCACTACACATCAGTCCAAAAATACCACACCAACAGGGAAGTTTGGAGGTGGAAACATCATGGTGTGGGCCTGTTTTTCAGCATATGGTACTGGCAAATTTCAAATAACTTAAGGAGGAATGCAAAAATGTACAGAGACATTCATGATATAAAAAAATCTGCAGTCATCTACTAGGATAATAAAGATGAAACGTGAGTGGACATTTCAGCAAGACAATGACCCCAAACACACAGCCAAGGAAATGCTCAATTGGTTTTAAGAGAAAGACAATAAAGCTGCTAGAATGGCCCAACAAATCACCTAACTTAAACAGAAAATCTATGGAAAGAACTAAAGATCAGAGTTCATAGAAGAGGCCTTCTTAGTGGAAGAATGGGCCAAAATCACACCTGAGAAATGTCAGTGATTAATTTCTCCATAGAGGAGTCGTCTTGAAGCTGTCATTGCCAACAAAGGCTTTTGTACAAAGTATTAAATACATTTCAGTGTGTTCAATACTTTCCCTGTGCCATTTCTCTTTATTACACATAACTTAATTTCTGGACATCTATGGTGTGATTTCTTTGTTTGTGTGGATCACAAGAATTGTTATCGACATCTGGTAAAAATGTCATGTCAATAGCAGGGGGATGAAAGTCAACATGACTTTTTGCAAAAGCATTTCTATAAGCAGAGTTTTCTCACTGAAGGTGATTACTCTGTTTTACTGCATGTGCTTTGATTTTCTGATTAAATCTAATTTTGCAGTAGTACGGTTGTATATTGGACAGTCAAGGCTGCAGGAAAAGCATGTTAGTATAAAACTGTCCTCAGCTATTTATTAAATGAGCCCAGACTCTCAAGACAATTTCAAAATAAAGAAAGCATGTTCAATTACACATATGTGAGAATATGGAGTAGTATCTGATCCTTGGGACCAAGAATGGACTCCAATGGGAGTCCCACAAGTTGGAATATATACCTTTGAAAATTCCCAAGTATCAGAGGGAACTAGAACGTGCAGATCCTTAATAATTAGTTATTATTTAAAAGGACAGTTCTGCTGTGAGAAACCCTCTGGAGATGATTTAACAAAAGAGATGTCTTCTTTAAATAAAGAACATCACTGACAAAAGTGAGCATCATCCTCATCATCATCTGTCATATCACAACAAAGAGTCATTATGCTTTAAAAATCACCTAAGCAGTATTTATAAAAAATTAATTTAGGATTATTTAGGATTTTTTTCCCCCTGTTGAACTTCACTTGAAAGTTAAGATCTAAACCAGTCTGAAACAAGGTAACCCAACAAAAACCAAGTCACTCTGACGCATGATTATGCGAGAGCATGACACCTGATTAATCATGAGCAAAACGTCCTGATCTGATGTTACACAATTGTAAGTAGAACATGGTGTTAAATCCTTCAGTCACAATGGTGTCATCCCACTGTGGAAAGGTTTCTGTCCGCTTCAAAATAATGACATTTCAATTGAAAAAGAAACTAGAGGAGGATTCAGGAAACCAAATGTATCACAGGATCCGAACCAGCTGGTTAATGTTGTGGGGTTCAGTTCCGATCCCATGAGACTGATGTTAAAATCATATGTAAAAAAAAAAAAAAAAGTAGCCAGTGGTTTATTATTAAAAAATAAATTATATTCAACAGACTCATTAAAGAAAAAGCAGAAATATACCAAATAGACCCACGGAAAGCATTAACAGATTCTCACAAAAACTTTCATTTTCTTTCATTTGTGTTTAGTTGTAATAATGCTTGACTTTTTCTGTAATAGTACTAGTTTAGTCCGCTGAATTTAAAAAAAGAATTAAAATAAATAAAAAAAAAACTTAAACCTAGCCATTATAAGTAGGTGTACACAGAATGGAAAACAATATAACCAGGTGTAATTCAAAAGTTTATTAAACAGAAACTTCTTTAAATCGATTATAATTATATTAATCATGCATAAACAAGTAAAAAAAAAAAAAGGCGTAAAACCTCAAACTCTGTAAATAGTATAATAAATGTCATAAAATGCAACATACAGCACATAGCAAGTGTCATGCATGCCAAGATAAATAATAAACTTGGTAGTGTGTTTCATGATTTGTATGAGCAATAAATCACCTGCTGAGTTGTTTGGCATTTTAAAGGAAGGCTGGTTAAACAAGACCAGCCTCTTTCTGTGGGATTTTCAGCATGAAGTCTTTATCTATAGCACTGCATATACATAAAGCAAAGAAGTATGTCAGGACAGGTGCTCTCATCAGGCAGTTTATAGCTTAATGCTCAGATTTGCTCTAAACACACTGCAAAAACAACAAAGATATATTTTTCACATGGTTTAAATTATCAAGGGAAATCTATATAAAAAAGCATCCATAGGCTGATGTCTGGATCTGATGTTTATAGCTTAAAAAAGGCAGCATTTACAATTAGTCAAATTTTGTCGGACTTCCAACTTATTCTCAGAACTCATATGCTGTAAAATTATTATCTTCTGGATTAATTTCACCTGGGTAGTGAAAACCAAAGATATGAATTATACTGTGGAACAAATTAAAATTATATTTTGAGTTGAATAAAAAAAAAGAGCCCCAACTATCAATTGCAGTGAAATATGTGATGAAAGAAATTATTGCATCCTGTTGGTTTAATTTAATCTGCACTATAAGTTTATATGATGAGTTTAAGACCTTAAAGCCATATGTCAGAAAGAGCATTTTTAAACTAAAAATGTTAACTTAGTGATGATGTTTAATAGCAGTTTTAAAAAGGTATTTTATTCTAAATGTATTTACATGAATAAGAGTCAAATGAAGAATCAATGCAATACTAAACATAGTGAAGGTTTGGGATTTTAAAGTGTGCTTTCTAGCGACATTAGGCATTTCTTTTCACAGTAAACAGGTTTTATATTATTTGGGATTGTTTTACACACCACCAAGTGCCACTGCTGCACATTTTAGAGAAAAACAAGATTGAAAAAGGAAAACTGGAAAAAAAAAAAGATGGCTGAAGTGGCAACGAGTATGAGAAAGGGAAGATTTTACACCATTTACAGCTGAGCTGAAAACAGACTCAATATTTCACTGTTAACCACGATAACCCACTGAATGGATACAGAGCATTTCAACTGAAATATTGGGAATACAAGGAATGATTCAATCAGCATTACAAAAAAGGAGTTATGGAATAATTATAATAATAACCATGTTTTTGGAGGCTGGTAACATTTATCCTTTAAGCTTAACTTATAGGAAAAAAAAAACACATCCCAGGTCAAATGGTAACTAGAGAGCACCTTTACCTACAAAAGAGTTTAGCAGAAAGAAAATAAAACAACTATGCAACACAGAGGAGTTCATTGGAAATCCAAAATAAATGGTGCACCTGTGAAGATCATGTCGAGTGTCGGTATGGATCAAAACTTTAATAAAAATGGTTTTAAAACCAAAAAAACGAACATAAAAACTATATTGCAATCACTCAAAAAAAATGCCTCTAGATTTCTTTTTCAGCGAGGCTGTAAATTCATTCTTGAAAAAGAAGGGTTAAGCACTGAAAACAGAAACTGAGGATTATTCTGTAGTTTTCTGGGGAAACCCTACATATACCGGTAGATGGACCCAATTAATGTGTTTATATGTTGAGGAGGAAAGCCTTTGTACGTCTTTAAAGTTAATGCTTAGTGTTCAGAAATAATATATTAGCAAAATTAGAAAAGGAATGGCTTCATTAGTTGACTCTGACAAAGTAATTACAATATTCTTTCACTTTTTACAGCTGACTGTTTTAGGCAGGAAATGGTGTTTTTCTCCAACTTACCACAAGAGGGCGCCTCTTCCTTCCTTTTGATAAGATGCCCTGAGATTTTGCAGCTATAAAAAAACCCCAAAAAACTTTGATTTGTTGTTCACTTTAAGCCAAAATGTGGTAGAAGGTTTTCTTTACACTCTAAGAATGTGCATTACAGTCACATGGTACAAACTGCTCAGAGGTAGCATCATTAGATGGTACATTTAATTACTACAGCTTTCTTCCGTGATTAGAGTAAAATTGAAATTCTTTGTTTTCTGTTCTTTTATATATTGGTCTTTTGTAAGTTCCTTGCACAAGAGCACTATTATAGCTTTGAAAAAATTCCAAGAGGGATTCTGGTTGGACATAACGTTTGAAGGACCCATATAAAAAGAAGTGGAGCCTATTATGCAAAATCAGGCCCAAAAAGAGAAAGCTGATTGCATCTTTTAGAGTAATTTGTATTTCACCGGTCAGGGAGTGAGTAGTGTTAGGTATCCATCATATCTGTAGAATATTTTGTGTAGTTGTTCTGTACCACTTTTAAATCCGAATCAAATTTCCCAGAATTCTCAGTCACGCTACAAAAAGCTTGATTTCAAACCACACTCAACCGGGCAGAGGGGTGCTTGCGTCTATAGCCAGGTGAGCAGGCTGTCCCTGTCCATGTGTGGCCCGGACAGAACCGTGTCCATGTCCATCAAGATGTCTGAAGTCAAACCGTCGGGGATGCCGGGCATCAGCTCCTCGTTGATCGGGAGCACAGGCATCGGCTCCTGCAGGCTCATGGAGGGGGGGTCACTAGAGTCACCTAAACATGTCAGGTGGAGAAAGAACAGATTTTTAACATCTTTTACTGTATTTTGCTTTTAATCACGAGGCATTGTGGCTTTTTTATTTTTCCAAGAGCCTCTACAACTAATGTGCATCTAAGTATAGAATGAGCAAGACAAGAAAAACAAGGTTGGTCTAATGACTTTTTCCATCACTTTCTACAAAAAAAGCGAAGAATTTTAATGACATGGTTGAAAGAGTTTGTATAAATGTTTGACGGACAACTTTTAGGGAAACATTACCAGTGTCCATATGATCCACAGAGCCCAACATGTGGTCAGATGTGCGTGGCAGGCTGCTGACGCTCAGACCGCTATCGGTGCTTTCGTTGCGAGAGTGAGCCCTGTGTGAGAAAACAAATTACAACCCTAATTAAAGGAGATAAGTCAATACAACATCTCATGTTCAGAAGGCATTTCAAACGGTTTGAAGTTACACTGATGCTTCGTATTGATTTCTGATGATCGAGCTTGGATCTGTGAAGGATGCGACACCATAATTCCAGTTGCAAGGTGGGAAAAACTGTGGTTTTTACTACATTTGTGCTGAGCGATACTTAAAATCACATTGTATAACACTTAATGCATCCAAACACTAAATAAACATTGTCCTAATAGATAGAAAAGGCATATTAATTTAGGAACTTCTACATTATGATCTAATATATGGTTGCAATATTGGATTCTGTACTTTTAACTATTAATAATGCACCCCTTTTAGGATTTTAACTTCAGTTCATTTTTCTAATTTCAAATATAGAAATCTGAGCAACCAATGAAGCAGACTAATGGGCAACAATAACATCCTACTGACATTATAAGCAAGACACTTTAAATAATACTTTTTTTTTTTTAACCCCTTATGGTTAAAACAAGTCAAACTATTTTATTCTATAAAATGTAAATAATTTGAATATTTTAGAAAGAGTTTTAGGAAATTACCAACAACACCTTACCTTACAGATAAGCATCATCACAACTATTATAACACCTATAAGGTACCGGCTAACTTTGATCTGTAAATTGCAAGCTATAACTAAAGATTTTGTTTATTTACTGGGGAGTTTCCTTGGTTTGGTTCTTACTTCAGGAAATCAGAAAATGCAGTTAATAGTCACATTTTCCTTTCAATGTTAATTACAAAATATGTTGTAAAATATTAGCAATAGATCAGTTTAATTAAGTCCTAATCTTTAATGAACTTCTATTGTTTTAGTACTTCATAATTACCCATTAAGGTTTGGTTCTTGGTTCAGGGCCCTGATCCTGACATCCACCGATGGGACAAGCATCTGTGCACTCCTGTCATGGTCCATCCCTCCAGGCATCTGGTTGCTACTTCCGGCCTCCTGCACCCAAACATGTGCTTAATTTCACTCCTCAGGAGATGAGCATGCAACACTGTGTGCAAACATTGCAGGTTTGCAGGATCTCTGACCTGAGGTGCAAACTGAGGCAGGATGCCTTGCTTCTGTCTGAGCTTTTCCTGCCTTTGCTGCATTGCCAAACTGAGCATGGTAGGGTTTGCCTTCTGAGCTAAAACACAGAAATCAGAAAAGAAATATGAGATAACTTTTTTAAAAATTCAACACGATTCATACTTTAAGATAATTAATTAATAAAAAAAAATGTCTCCAACACTTTGAGGTCCTTGGTTTTTGCTCTGCTGTTGCCAAACATTAAGCTGGTTCTTGATAGCGCACATTGGAACACAATGTTTCTCGTTGACAATTGTCAACTCAGGAGGCACAAAATCTGTTATAGTGTGCTACCTAGACGTGGGTCGTCCCATGTGGTGGTCTTATTTATGTGATCAATGTAGTACATCTCTCCATCTGCAGTCACAGCCTGCTCCCAGCCTTCAGGCAGTGGACCTGAACAGCAGTAAAAGTACACAGTGAGAAGGCGAATAATCGATGGAGCCAATGGAGTGAATGAGAGGGAAAAAAAAATGTTTGTAGTTTGCAGATTTTAAAGGAGGGAGAAAAAGTGAGTTATAGCTTTATTTCATATACTATATAAAAAAAAACTACTGTATGTGCATTTTTTACCTAACTTCAGTGTGTGTAAATCAATGTCCATGCAAATATGCTTCCTAAAGGGTCTGGTCAGCCAAATCACACTATAAAAATTTTACCTCTTATAAGAAACAGTGTCTCCAATGTCAGGAACATTTTATCAGTGGATTTGCTATAATTATTTAGAATAAGGCCTTTGAGGATCTGAGGGATTTCCTGTTGTCTAATTAACCATTACCTGTTTTCTACCATGTGTTAACAGACATATTTGACACTTTGAATAGCCTTAAGATGAATCTTTATCATTCATGAATCATATTTATAACAGATGTTTATACTTATATATTAATTCTAGATATTTTCTATTCATAGTATAATGTTATAAAGTATAAATAAACTGTAAAAGTGCGGAAAGCTTGAGTTCCTTTAAATCAAGACTAAAAACACATTTGTTTAGGATTGCCTTCGACTGTTCTAGTTAAATAGTTCAGCTGAAACATCATTAGTTCAACCTTTTTTTATTTTCTTTAATCCAATTGTTTTTAATGTTCTGTTTTGTTTCTGCATTTTTATTTTATTTTCTTTCCTACTTGCTTTGATTCTGTTTTATTTTCCTATATTTTAATCATGCAAAGCACTTTGCATTGTCTTTGTACTGAATTGTGCTATACAAATAAATTTGCCTTGCCTTGCCTAAATTCTCATGTTTTATTGAATCTTCCTCAGGAGTCAAATTCTTTTGTCAGATTAAACATAGCCAAAAATTCACTGAGTAAGTAACAAGGTTAGAAGAGAATGGGGAAATAAAGAGCAACCAAAACAGATATAATTAAGGCTGAAACAATTAATCGGATTAATCAAGATTAATTGATTACAGAAATAATCATCAACTAATTTAGTAATTGATTACTGGTTAAATGGAGTATAAAGACTGTAAAACACACCTTTAGTTGAAAGAACGACCCACTTAGAGCAGTAATTATACTAAAATTGCACAAAAATAAATTAATATTTTGCATTTAAGATATTAAAAAAAGCAACAACCTTTTTTGTCTGTCAAAATGCTCATTCTATAACTCCTGAAGTGGAAATGTTTTAGTTTTAACTAGTTTAATTTCATAAAAAAATCCTCCAATAAACAATAGATATCTGATTAATTGAAAAAAATTATCAACAGATTAATCAATTTGCAAAATAATCGTTATTTGCAGACCTGGCTATAATAATAACATATATAGATACTAAATAATAAAGTGGAGACAGAGAGAACATATCTTTCATCTTGCCTATAAGAGCTGCAGGACTGGACGTAAAGCAATGACCTATCAGACACACTCGCATGGTGGAGACATAGATTATTGAGATATCACTGAGGTATAAGAAGAGGAGAAATGTTTTTCTTTGATCATTCCTATTTGATGCGGAAATCAAAATTAGCCCAGTGCGTTAAAACTCTGAATACAAATTGCCTTCTTAACTTAGATTAAGTCATGTTTAAGTCCTGTCTGAGAGTCATTTAATATAATATAAAAAGAACTGGGAATAAGGCTAGAGGTCTCAGCGCCTTAGAAGGGTAGTTTTCAAAATAAAATTAAAAAAAAGTCGTATGGGCTTAGGGAGCTTTTCTAAAAACTAGGTGTTAAGTTAGAAAAAGTAACTAGACTAAACAGGAAAAACTTACTCCAGGTGGTAATACCTTCTACCGTAGTTTACGACTGTAAACTTTTGGAGCATTTCTAAACCAGTCCTCCTGCTTGTCTAGGGCCACAAAGCCGGCAAGTTTTGTTTATTAGAAAATTAAAGAACTGTGATTCCAGTCCTAGGCTTCATTCATAGACAAACATTCATTTTAACACAAAAAATATACATATTAATGGATACAAAAAGTTTACATATTTAAAAAAAAAAGGAAAGAAAAATAGAAAAGAAAAAGTGCTTTGTGAGCTTAATGAAAAACAAAATCCTTAAAACTAATTCTACAGTGGAAATTCCCTGAAAATGTTTAATAAAAAAAGGAATGTGAACACAGCAGAAATAGTATTGCAGTTTTTTAAAATTTATTTAAATTAAAACTTTATGCTTTTAAAGTCGTAGGGAAGCGGTAGTTCTGAATTCTCCTGAGTGGTGCCCGACTTTACACGAGTGAATAAAGTGAATGTGATTGGTCAATTATCAAGGGGGGGATTGTTGTGGCAAAAGGTTCTCAAGCAAGTTTGATTGTGGCCGGTTTCTTGGAAGCATCTTGCTAACCAGTTAGCAACTTAGTGCTAGTAGGTTCCCAATGGGAAATGGGAGTTTAGTGTCAGAGGTCGTGGATGAGTCTCCTCCGTCATACATTTTTTTATTTAGAGGAGGAAATTGGGGACGAAGATGTTGTGGAAGAGGACGCCAGGGCGGCAGAAGCTTTGTTTGGTGTAGAAGGCTCACAGCTGTACGTTTGAACCGAATTTAGGTGTACAAAATTCCCCACAGATTTTTTTTAAAATAGAAATGTTCTAACTTTTGGGACAATATCTGCAAAAGAATACATTTATATACATGTTTAAGCCAGAATGATTTGACATTTAAATATGACTTTAAATTAACTATGAATTCCCTACGACTTTAAAGTTTCTATGGCAACAAACCAGAACCTCCAGTGTGTCTCAAACAGCAACTTCAATCTAATCTGCTTGGAAATTGTTTATTTTTTCATTTTTATGGAAACATCCAGAAGAGCTATTGATCCTAAAGCAGTCAGGGTTGAGAAGACGAAGGATGCCTTTCCTTTTTCACAGCCTGCTGCAAACAAAACTCTGAGGCGGCACTGACATTTTTTCACCCATTCTCAATCAAATAGTTAACACATTGCAGAGTTTAAAAACATGAAATGAATGAGCCTAAACTGAAGTCATTTATATTAGAAGTGTGAAGTGACAAACAACAATCACTAAGGAATCTAGGTGTGAATGATCTAATGTCGACACTTTAGGCAAAGGTGGCCCAAATCCAACTTTTTAGTTGTCAATCACAACCAAGCCGCTTTTATAAATAACTCTAAATTGTTTCCCTATCTGATGTCGTTATAAATGAGCTCGACCTGGATGGTTGTGTTGCCTTTCATTTCACTTAGAGGTTAATGGCGTGCGACAAACGTCTACATTTTATTGGAAAGGAACTGTTTAGATCAAATGTAAAACATGTTGATGAATTTGGCCAAAATTTCACAAGGAAATTAGAATCAATACAAAGATATTGAAATGTCTTCTTTAAACAAAGCTGTAGACTGTTTAAGCCATAGTCTGATTGTGCTTTAATTTAAGTTAGAATGTGAACAATAATACAAACAAAAAAATACTTGCAAAATAAAATAAATTATTCCTTTTAAACTATGCCTACTGTAAAACAGTATGATGTGACCTGCTCTGAACACTGTATGCCAAGAAAGGTAAAGCTGAAACAACAGTTTTAAAGTAGAAAAACTGTTTTAAAGTAATGTACCTTTTAATTTTGCTTTTCCCCTATTAGAGAAAATTTTTTTCTTCAGTTACACTAAAAACCATTATGGGTTTAACAAGGATTAGAATAAAGAGGTGAAATAACAACGAAGGGAAAAACCCGTTTGAGCTTTTCTAAGCAACCGATTGCCACCTAAATATAGACCTTAAAGGTGTAACTGTAGTCACTGATCACATGTTGCATCATCAAAAGCTGCAGTGCAGTTCTGGTCGGTTCTTCAAGAGAGATAAAATCTGGATAAACTAACCTTTAAATATTCATATTAGCTATGAATTGAAAAAAAAACAAAACTGATGGTACCTGTGAGTAAATATGAAATATCTGGTGTTCAGCTGAAAACTGATGTGTTTATCTCAACTACTTTAAGAGTTTATACCCTGAGCAAACAGTCCTCAAAGAGACACCACAGGAACCTACAGTCTGGTTGTTTCAAGCAGGTGTAGCAGTATGAGCAACCAAAAGGGAATCCCAAAGGAATAACACCCGACAGCACTGCAGTGTGATACCTGTCTCAGGAATAACATTTTTTGGTTGCGTAGTGGGCGCTGGGTTGCTGAAGGAGTGGGCGTGGATCGGGGTGCAGGCGATCTGATGCTGGGCTGCAGCCGACTGAAGCTGCGAGAGGCGGGGGTCCTGCCATGTGGTCGTCTTGTGTACGTGGCTGAAAAACACGCAGCAAAGCCATGAATAAGAGCGCATCGGTTAAACTGCTGCAACCGGAAGGGCGAGGAGCGCCCTGCCTCAGACCTGCCTTACCTGTACTACCAGATGTGCTTGAACATCTATACTTCTTCAGACAATCTCAGGCTTTTTAAGGAGCAGTAAGTCATCGGGAAACGTGGGCTTATGAAGGTGAAACTCATGCAAAATGTCCTATTGCATGAGTTTCAACTCAGCTACTTAAAACTTATTGTTTTACTTTAAAACAAACAAACCAAAAATTTCTTGTGGGAAAATAAAAAGCGTCAGAAAGAAAAATAGATTTTCTTGGGATACGTTAAATTAAATCCAAACTGGACATAGAATCATTAATTAGCTTATAATCTTGAACAGCTTCTCTTCTAAAATGTGCTGATTCAGAATCTGTGTTGCGTAATCTGCCTCGGGAAACTGTCATCCGCCACAGAAACTAAAGAAAACCTGCAGAGCCAGAGATGCAACTCAGTGATAAACCGGGAGGAAGCCCTTACTTGATGAAGTACCGTTGGCCAGTGGACGTCTTTGCCATCTCCCAACCGTCAGGGAGTGGCACGTCATCGGGTATGAGCGGCGTGGCTGCTGCATCTGCATCCACTTGAGCGGAGAGGGAGTTGACTGGGAGGGAGGCGGGGGAGGAATGAGCGCGGACGTGATGAGGAGCGAGGGAGCCGCACACGCCTCCGTCTGAACTGGCCTGACGAGAAAAGAGCAGGGTTAGCAAGTCTGCAGCTGAGTGACAAACAGAAATCTGAAACAAACTGAGAAAGAAAAAAAAACAACAACAAAAAGGTTTAGATGGAAAGGTTACTGCTGCAGTGCTGCCTCTCTCTCACGCACACAAGTTACACATCTTTTCCTCCTATATCTAATACAAACTTTAACCAGAAAAACACCAGAGCATAATGCTGCCACTGCCATGTTTCACTGTGGCAATGCCATTAGCTTTGGTGATGCACAGTTAAATAGGAAGTTAAGTTTTATCAAACACTCAAGGTTTCTTAAGACTTTTATGCTTTTTTATTTTTTTTTAAAAGAAAAGGCTTCTGTCTAACAAACCAACTGCTTCATCCAACATTTTTAGAATAAAGGACAAACACACACGTGAAGCACATCCAACAGAAATTCCTGCAGCTCCTACTATGTTGCCCTCTTGCTCCTGACACCATCTCTGAAAACTTTCCATCTTGTCTTTCCATCAGTTCAGGACAATCATACCATTTGTGTGATGTCACTCTGGCCCCATCTTGAACTATTGATACATGTTCCAGTGTTTAGGTAGATTTCTTTTTAAATTTAGATTCTTTGTTCCTTCTCTGCAGACTATAATCTTTCCTACAGAGGGAAATCTGTATAAAATGTCAGATAAATCAGTATAAACTGATTAATCATATTCCCTTGTTTATCTTACAGCTAGGTTAACCAAAGATTACAAAATAATAGCTGAAACTTCCAAAAATTCAACAATTTGTTGGTTAGAGTTTCCATGTAATAAAATTCATTACGCATTTTAAATGCTGTTTATTATTGAAGTAAAAGTTAAACTAATTCAGCACCAGCAAACACCTATTTGTGTCCTCCTGTACCTTTTTGTTTTCCTTTAAGATTTTCCCACATTTGGCAAAAATGAACTGAGCTACAAACCTGAATCAAATATTAGAGAATTTGCACGGCTTTAGCTGCATGAATCCAAAGTAAATCTGGCCCTATTGCAGTAAGAGAGTGTGAGAGATAAAATGAAAGTAAAGCAACTGAAATAACTTCAGCAAACAAGAGTATTTTTTTGGTCCTTTGCATGGATCCACGATGTGCAGTTGGAGTATAAAAGCAAAAATCTCTTTCTTGCCACTTTCCTAAGGAATCCTCCTGCATTGTGAGCCATCTTATAGTGCAATCTATTACTTTCTGATGTTTTTATTTGTTCATGCATTGGCACAACTCAAAAAGAATTAACCCAAGACGTCTGGAGTCCCCCCCCCAAGAGATTTGAGACATGATCGTCTAAAGGTTTGTGTGTATTTAAACACATGCAAACAAGTTGGAACAGGTTAGTATGAATAGCTGATCTCCATACTAGGTGCAAAGTGATTTCTGTTTGGAACATCAGCGGGCACAGACTTTTTTTGAGTGTGCCTTCAGTAATATGCTTATCATGTTCTATTGACCATACCAACAGAGGGAGAGTGTGAACATTTGAACACATCTTGACTTTCAGAAATAACAATAGTAGAGCATTACTAATAAATATAAAGTAAGGCTGAACGGTTTTGCCAAAAATCAAAACTGCGATTATTTTCGACGAACATGATGTTTTACTCCAGGGTTTTCGTTTTTTCACGATATTGAAAGCCTGCTTGTCAAGATTCCAGTGTTGAAGGACTTTACTGTAACATCTGCAGGAAATATATCATACTTCTACTATAATGCATAGATCTAGGAGCTAGCTGCGACTCTGTATTCCCATCTCTGTGACAGCATAGTTTTACTGCCTCCTAAAGGGCTGGAGGGAGAAATGTCAAGTCATACTCATGTTAAATGCATTGTGACTAAAAATTGAATGCCGGTACGATTTGAAAATAGCATTTTTCTAAACTGCGATTATATTGCAAATGCAATTAATTGCCAAGCCTTAATATATAGGCATGTTTAAAAAAAAAAAAAGGATTTTATCAGCAACCAAATAAAATCAGTCAGAGAGGCTCTAGAGCAGAGGTCTGCAGCCTTTCATATCCAAAGAGCCGTTTTACCCAGAGTCCGACGAAGTAAAACTTGTTTAGAGCCTCAAAATATAACAGGCTCTAACTCGTTAAAAAAAATATATTTTTTTAAATCTCGTGTTGGAAATTATTAACCATCTTAAACAATCAAAAAATGATGTATTTTTAGCTTTTAAAACTATAATAAAACACATAATTTCCAAGCCAATTAAAAGGAAATGGCTCTGAAAACGTATTTCTGTTACTTTTAACCTCCTTTCTTTCCATCTTATAAAAAACACTTAAGCTTTTAAAACTGGTATTCATTATAGTACATTATTTAGCTCTTTATATACATTTTGGGCACTATTAATAGCTGCTGGAGACAGTCCAAAGAGCCACATGCGGCTCAGGATCCACAGGTTGAGGACCCCTGCTCTAAACGGATACCTCTGATTTGTTGTGATTTTATTTTCTCCCCAAATTTTCTGTTTAAGGGCTTCACATGAAGCACAAATATATATTTCATAATATTTGCTAGTTTTGGACGAATTGGTGGAGGTAAAGCTGATTAGAGCAAGATTTCTCCGTAGATCAGACCTTGGCTGCTTCTCTGTCAAAGAAGGATCTTTGGGATTGGCAGACAGTCAGCTATTTTAAAATGTAACTTTCCTTATATTCATATTTTTACTTTTTCTACGTTTGTTTGTTGAATCTTAAGATGTTAAGTGCACTGAAAATGTATTCATTTTAAATAATCATTACCATTATCCCCTCCAACTCCATTGCTTAGAACACCAACTTTCATTTACTACCACTCTTAAACTACTAGTAGTGCATGCAATTTACTAATTTTAATGAGGAAATAACCAAACCTGTATGCACATATTATCATTTTGATGAGCTATCTTTGTAGATCACCTGCAATATGCCCACTTATACCATGTGTGCATTTTTTTCCTTTCTTTTTTCCTCCCACACAATTCAGAGCCCATTGAAGATCGGACCCTCCATGTTTACTTGGTTGTGAAAAAAAAAACTCATGTAAAATCTGCTAGTATTTGTTATAGTTTCTTATTTACAAGAGAGAAATCCAATTTCCTAAATGAAACTATAAGAGAAAAATTTTAATGGTAAAGGATTAATAATGCTTAATATGCCATTACAGATAAAACTGCTTACAAGAGTTGCATTCAGTTGCTATTAGTCCTTGCATGCTCATCTATGTTCATATTTTCTATTGTTTTTTAGCATTAAAGGCAAAAGGTTTGAGAGGTGCTGATCTAAAGGGAACAGCTCACAAGGTAAAGTGTTATCACATGAATCTAAAGTCTAAACGCGTTTACTCCATTTGACAATCTTTCCTGTTAGCACAGAAAATAAAAAATCCAAAGTTTAGAACTGCAATTGTTGGGAATTTTTGCTAAATGTGAATGCAAACAGATTATTAACTCAAGTACTTGCGTGTAATTTCATTTAATTCTGTACTCACTTTCTCAAATATAGTTTATTTCCAAATATATTCTGGAGATTTTAATTTCTGTAATGCTCTAAGTCTTATTCTATTATTTTAACTCTGCAGCAGTGGCCATTTGGGCTACTTTTAGTGGTATAAATTAGGAAGTTTGGTGACAAGTAAGGGAAAAGCTATTAAGCACTAGCAGTAAAAAAATAAACAAGGTGAATTCTACAAACATTTTATATTTTTCCTTCCTCAGAAATCAGCTAATAAGATTTCTAGAACTACATTTACAATCTGAGCCTGATGACTGTCAACCTGAGAGTTGTTCCCCTTTTTCATAACTAACAGAACCTGCTTACTGATGTCCAGGGCAATAATGGATAACAAAGAAATTTGTGAAGTAGTTTGTGTTTGTGCAAGGATTTAACAATGTAGTAATGGTAATCGCTAAATTATATTTGAATATTGGATGCTGTGACAATAGCGGGTGTTAAAATGTCTAACTTTCCCAATTTGACTCCCTACTTCTAGGGACAACTTTCTTAACTCTGAGTAAAATTGATCACGTCTCTCAACAGGCCACTAAGCGTTATTTTTCCCTTTAACTTCCAATTACACATTTTGTAACAGTTTAAGCATGTCGGACAAGAAAGGGTATTTTAAAATGAAGCACCACAGAACTTTGTGGCAGCTGTGGTTGTTTTAAAGGGCTTTATAAATAAAGTTGCGTTGAGTTGAGCACCTTTTAATAAGGTGAAAACGCTGATATAAGTCATCCTTTTCTCTGCTGCTAATGCTTTTTTAAATGCTCACACATAGATTATAATTACCGTATGGTCCTCTTATATTTATTAACTGTTTTTGCTAATTTTGAGCCATTTTATTAAAATTATGTCAGATTCATGTACCAGAACTTTAATCCAACCACTTCTGATATTTGAAAAATGCACCAATGGAGGTGGTGCCCAGCAGGATATAACAGTGGTGAAGGCTTAGCGAGGTCCAGTAAGGTAAATAAATGCTTCATTAACTAGAAATGCTAAGCTAATCTATAGGTAAACTGAAAAATCCATTAACAAATAGCAAATCTCACTGTTCTAAATCAAATTTGCTAGTCCCGTTTAAAGCCCTCATCTTTTTGTATATATCATGTAAAACTGTAACTAGAGCGTGTAACAAAAGTAATTTCCCTCTGGGATTATTAAAGTATTTCTGATTCTGATTCTGATTCTGATTTTCTGGGTGGCATCTCAGTATGTTTTGGGCCAAATGTTACTGATTTAAAATCAGATGCAGGACATTGGTTGAACATGAGGAGGTTTTAGATAAAGACAAATGTGAAGTTAATTGTCAATATTGACACTAACATGCAGACAACATCCATGTATTCAGCCTGTTAGTAAAACAAAGTGGTTTTCGGGATTCATTTTTCTTTAAGGATCACCAACACTTCAGAATAAGTATGGACGGGATATCAAAGTTATAAAAGGTTACAATTTTAAACCATTTTTAATGGTTTTTAGAAAAATAAAAGCAACTTTTTTCCTGCTCTCTTACTGAATGTATTATCTGATTCACAGACTTAACTTTCTGTAGGATAACACAATCTTTTATTTGAAACCATTACAATTCAACTAGATGTCCCCCCTAATTTGTGGTGATTAAAACTGGATCTATACTAAAATGTGAAACTTCTTTATTTTAAATTTGATTCTAAATCTCTTCAGTGTTATCTGCGGTGGATAAACAGATGGTTCATTATTTAAAGGGAAAATTTATGCACACTATTATATTGTTACAACAAACAGAAACGTAAGAAAGGAGATATATTTTAGGAACAGAAGGCGTATCCCCAAGTGTTATGCTGTGCATTGCTTGTCAGCTGGCAGGAAGAAAGCTTCTTCAATTAAGCTTAGCAAACAATAAATGTAAATCTACATGGCGGTCTATAAAAAAACTAACCCTAATAAATTGTAACCCTACAACAAAATGCACATAGAGCTTGGCAACCATGCCAGTGTGTAGAAATCCATTGTGGCTACCCCCTCATACAGATTTAATGACATTTCTGGTGGTTTATATCTAATTAAACCTAAGACACACTCACTGCTGCACAATACCTATGAACAGGATCCATTAGTGAGACAACCTAAAGCTGATTATGGGCTGGCACATTAAACTATAAAACATACTAAAACTATTGTTTACTTTATTGTTTAATAAAGTATACTTTAAGTATACTTTAGTAAACTTAAAAATGTCCCAATTTAGTTCGAAGAAGTTTTACTTTAGTAACATTGCATCTACACTAGAAGTACATTGTTCGGTATATTCTCTATACTTATACTTAAGTATTCTTAACAAAATTTACTTCAAGTATCCTACTTTTTGCTAAGGGTAATTAAGTGAATGTTATTGCTATTTTGTACTTCCCTGTGAAAATAATGTACTGAGAAATAATATATGGTGTTGTTGTTTAATTTTATGTTTTAAACAAAGGCAGTAAAATCAGATTGCATATGCCTTTTTTATATTTTAGTGTAAATGCACTAAACTGTGGTGTTTTCTTTGGGAGGCTGGTGATTAAATTACAGGCCTATGTTTTCTAAATATTAATGAATTTAAGGGCAGATGTGATGGAAACCCTGAAGCAGCAGCAGCAGGATGCGGTCATATTACTTGTCTTGAGTGGCCCCTGGGTTCCGGCGGCTTGAAGAAGGAATCCGGCAGCTTCCTCATCCTCATGGGCACAGAGTGGGGCTGCCTGGCCGCCTTGCTGGGGTTCATCACGGCGCTGAACAGGGCCTCCAGCTCCGTCTTGGAGTCCCCGCGGACGTGCACGACCTGCTGCCCTGCCGGAGGCGCGCCTCGGTGCGCGTCCATGTCGCCCAAAGTTTGGAATCGAAACAGATCTGCTGGAAAAAAAAAAAAGTTCACAAACGGAGAACAAAACTCAAGATCGCTAAAATACGAGTCGGATGCGCCTCTGTGCTACAGTTCAGCTCTGATTTGTTTACACTTTTAGACACCCCCCCCCCATTTGAACTTTTTATGTTGTCGCGGTGTTTGAAGCTCTAAGTTATTACTCTACAAGAAAAACACCAAGCTTCATTTGGAAAACCCAAAAAAAGTGATATTTAAACAGATCGTGTCTTTATAAAAGGAAAAAAAAAAGAAAAATCAATCTCGGCAGAACACAACATGCCTCCCACATACCTCAAGCAGCCAGAGCGTCCCCCCTCCTCTCCCTCCTCCTCCCCCGTGTGTTCCTGCAGGGAAAAAAAAAGAAGAGCCAGTCTGGAAAACAGTCCAGCCGACTCCGTTTTTCCCTCCGACACAACCGGAGGAATTAAAAAAAAAAAACTTATAAAGGCGAGGCGGGGCCGCGCGCACTAGAAAGCGGCCTGAGAGGAGCGATTTCACCGAGACCTCCAAACTTTTCCCATCCAGCTTCCAGTCCAGATTCATGTGATAGTGCGCAGGGGCGGGGTTGCTGGGTTTAAAGCCGCCGCAGTTGCAGGGCAAATATTTCACACTCAGGACAGATACTGTAAACCATCACTGGGAAAAAACTAAAGGAAAATAGACAAATGGGAGTGTATTCACAGCTAAGTGAAAAAAATATGTTTAAAAAAAAAAAAAAAATTAGATTAGGTTCTTTTTCAAGTTTGTTTGGTTTCTCTGCTTGTAAAAACAAGTGATAGAGAGCATTAAAAACTGCGACAGTCTGTGATTATTTTATAAAAGGGGCACATGTGTCTGCTCAGATTTCTTTTTTTCCTGACTCTGGGTCTGGGTCTTGTATATTTTGGGGGGTTGGGTGGGGGAAAATTGGGAAGTTGCGCCGAAAAAACATCCGCCCCACGATGAGGCTAACCCAGCCGGAGCCATTTGACTAGTGCGCCCCCTGGTGGCAGGAACGCACCCTGGAAGCCGCAGGTCAGCTGCCGAGGGTCAAGAGTATGGCGTCAAAAACAAAGTAAAAAAAAAATAAAATAAAATCAGAATTACTTTATTAATCCCTTGCGGGAAATTATTTTCTTGCAGTGCAACCATTTACAGAAGAGAGAAAAATATGATTGTCAACACACACAAAAAAAATAAAATATAATGAAAGGAAATAAGTAAAATTACACCCTTCCCATATAAACAGTGTAAAATAAGATATAGCAACAAAATAGATAAAAAGATAGAATAAACTACTTTTATTGCACATAAAAAGCAGATTGAAAAATTAATAATTTAAGTATATATCAGCTTTTGTCATATTTCTATGCTAAAATTGTTGCAAACTTATAAATTATTTCTTAAATAAATATTTACATATGGGATGGTTAAAATTAAAATGTATTGAACACATTAAAAAAACTCAAATCAATTCAATTACAATTCAGTTTATTTATAAAGCGCCAATTCACAACACATGTAATTTTAAGGCACTTTACAATAAAACCAGATCATCCAGTCAAATTGATTCTAAGTTTTCTATCAAAGGAAAAACAGTTGATTGCATCAACTTATTGACTCAAAGGCTATCCCTTACACTAGGCATGCTTGTAGCGACAGTGGAGAGGAAAAACTCCCTTTTAACAGGAAGAAACCTCCAGCGGAAACAGGCTCAGGGTGAGCAGCCATCTGCCGAGGCAGACTGGGGTTCAAGGAGACTGAAGCAGAGATACAAAAGACAACTGTTAACCAGCTCCACAGGTGGCCCTGTCCAGGAAACACACAGCCATCCAGACAAACTCTGAGCCAGCTCCCATGTCAGAGGATGAGGATAGCACATCTAGCCAGTCACAGTCAGAGAAACAGGACTACTCTGAAAAACAGGCTGATCTCGAACATCTATAAACAAAGGTTTTGATGGCAGTCGCACAGCTGATATTTCTCTCCAGGATGGTGTCACAGCCAAACAGGAACAGACCAGATGAAGCCACTATGACAAAAATCAGAGAGAGCATAACGCTAGAGATTGAACTAACAAATTCTACAGAGTGGGAGAATAGAGACAGAATAAAGCCAAATGATGAAAAAAGGGGTCCCTATGTCCTCCAGCACTCTAAGCCTATGGCAGCATAACTATAGAGGTATCAAAAAGAAAGTTTTAAGCCTACCCTTAAAAGTAGACAGGGTGTCTGCCTCATGGACTAAAACTGGTAGTTTGTTCCACAGGAGAGGAGCCTGATAACTAAAAGATCTGCATCCCATTCTTTTCATTTATTTATTTATTTATTTATTTATTTATTTATTTATTTATTTATTTATTTATTTATTTATTTATTTATTTGTTTATTTATTTATATAAATTCTAGGAACCACTAGTAAACCTGCAGATTGAGAGGCAAGGGCTCTTTTAGGGACATAAGGAACAATCATATCTCTGATATAAGATGGAGCTTAAAAAAGATAACTTAATTGTTTAGTGATTCAAAAATCTCTTAGACATAATCAGATATTAAAAATATATAACCATTAATCCAAATGTAAACTAATGATGTTTTAAAATAATTTCAAAAAAAGTTAATTACTTACTTAGTGATTTTAACCGTTTAAATAACTTAATTTAGCTCCTTTACATGTTAGTTTTTTTTATAATGAAAATAAAGACTAATACACAACAATTCAATGCATCAAGATTTTTAAATTCATATCTCTAAATGTGATTGCAAATCAATTAAGCTGGATCCATTATTTCTCAAATACACCCTAACATCTAACTGGTTGATCCAGTAGCAGCGCTGGCCCAATAAAATCTATAAATAATCTGGAAAGAATAAAGAAACAAAATGCTCATTTATGTTTTCTGTGAAAATTTTTACAATATGTTAGTTATAAATGTTTAAAAAATATGTGTTTAACATGGAAGTGTTTGTATATACTCAATGAATGAGCTAAAATGAGTAATTTTATCTCACTTCATGGATTGTCATGCTGAATATAGAACAGAACAAAGAATAATGACAACCTGGAAGCTTATATACAATGACAGAGTGAAGAAAAGCACCCAAATAGCTAAGAATAATCAGGAGTAGATAAGAACAGCTGAGCTAATTAAAAGAGGAAGAGCTGAGGGAGGAGGGTAAATGAAGAACAGAGAGAAACCCAGGAACAAAATCAACAATGATTGAAACAAAATTTACAATGGAAAAAATGTATATACAAAATAAGAACTTGATCTAAAACAAATGGCAGTGTGTAGAAAACATAAATACAGAGAGAAAAGTACATATATAAAGAAACAAAAAGGTTAAAACACTTCATGAAACTTTATTCCAGGTTTTATTGATGTGTAGAAGTCAAACACTGACAGTGAGTTCAGTCATTGTATTACATAACATAGGTTATTTAAAATGAAGTCTTATATGCTGTGTTTACTCTTTTTACCCAGATGCACCACAGGAAATCATTCCTGCCTGTGGTCATCAATCTCTACAACGCCTCCCTCAAGTGATTCAGACACCCCCTCCCCCCCTCTGTAATTGACATTTATTCATTCCTTGCACTGTTTTTGCATGTCACTATCACTTTATTTGGATTTATAGTTACATATGCATTATTATGTCTGATTCTGATTCTGATTGAGGCTGAAATCAATCTGCCCATCGTCTCTCTGTCTGCTTAGGCAAGGCAAGGCAAGGCAAATTTATTTGTATAGCACAATTCAGTACAAAGACAATGCAAAGTGCTTTACATGATTAAAATACAGGAAGATAAAACAGAATCAAAACAAGTAATAAAAAATAAAAAATGAATGAAATAAAATAAAAAAAAATGCAGAAACAAAAAAGAATATTAAAAACAGTTGGGTTAGCATTTGATCAAACATTTCTTAGACTCACTAAATGCTGAAGAATCAGAATTAATTTCCCTTCTTTAAAATGATCACAGCTGCCATCTTTCACTCTTTCTTTAAGCAAACAAACTGCATGTTATTTAACCCTGTCTGACATTTTTTATTGTTTTATAGTGAATGCTTAATAAATGAAACCTTTGGATTAAAACAGATACACAAATAGATTTTAAAGTGTTCCGAACCTTGGACAGAAAAGCTGAATTTATAAAAAAAAAGGAAAGAGGAGGTTTTATTCAAAGAGTAAACACAAAGTCAGTATCAGCCAGTGAAAATTGTATTGCGTGTCTCATTAATTCAGATTACCGGTATTGTTGATATCAACAGCAATTGCTTTTGTCTCCCTGAACCCTAGTCAGCCTCGGCAGATGGCCGCTCACACTGAGTCTGGTTCTGATGGCGATTTCTTCCTGTTTAAAGGGAGTTTTACCTCTCCACTCTTACTACAAGCATGCTCTGTGCGAGGGATTGCTTTCGAGGCAATGAGTCGATGCAATCAGCTGGTTTTCCTTCAAACGAAAACTTTGAATCAATTTGACTGTATGATCTGGTTGAACTGTCCTTAAAGTGCCTTGAGATGACGTGTTGTGAATTGGCACTTGGCAGTGGGAGGATTTTTGTTTTCTGAAAAAAAAAAATTTATCATCCCTTAAGAGTAAAGTTTATTAAGCAATATAAACACAGCACCAAAAAAAAAAAAAAAACCGAGACATCTTAAATTCCTTCACACTAAAGAGAATCCACATCTCTATTTACAGTCTGGGAAACTTGAAACAGTCTTTTGAAGTTTAAAATGCTTTGTGTATTTTCTTTTTATTTCCCATTTAGAAACACGGTTTTCAACTTGAACCCCCATTCATTAAATTAAATGTCTGATTAGTTTGTTAACCAGTGGAGAGGATTTGTTTTTTACTCCATCATTATTACTGAAACAGATACATTAGTATCTGTTTCAGTAATAATGATGGAGAAAAAGACATCTGAAACACAATATCACAGTATTAAACGATGATAAATTGTCCTCTCTTTGTTCCCATTATAGAGAGCGGATAGAAACACAATGTGAAAGTTTGCCTGATAGGTAATGTGTGACTTCTCCCTATGAGAGGGGCTGCAAACACTGAGGGCAAAGAAAAGGTCGACAAAACCTTTCAGGCAAGTTACTGATTTTAAGGGAAGTAAAATGCTCTGTTTTGCACAGTCAGTCATATACCCCATATTATGTGTTTTTGTTTCTTATCACCTGTTTAACAGTGGAATGAATAGATTAAAGAGACATTGATCCATTCCAGACATTTTCATTGTGGCCTGCTTTAGTGGAAGTGATACTTTAGATCGAAATGTTCACATGTGGCAAAATAGCAATTCAACTTTGAACATAATTATCACATAGCCAAATCAGATAAACATGTTTTTTTAAAGTCACATTTTAGGTCACCTATTCACACAACCCCTGATCTGCCTCTTTAATTTAGCTTTAATTGAGATGTAGAACAGGGATGTGAGGAGAGATTGCTGGGCAAAGTTCCTGTGATACACTTTTGTGAACAATAGATGGCAGTGTCTCTTTTTAACAGTTTCTTCATGCATTTGATAGCTTTTTCATGTTGATTTACTAAAAGGA